CTGTGGGGCGCATCCCTGGAACCCCACAGCTGAGTATAGCGAGCTGGCAAGCAATATCTATCATACTGAATAAACATATCAGACTAACAAAGGTTAAGGGAATTAGTTTTCTCACTTAATTCTCCCCCTGAAAATTGTTGTCTCTCCACCCCACTAGAGCAGGCGCTGCGGCCTTTGGGGCTGGGAGAGGAGACGGCGTAGCCTGATGCAAATAGCTTGTGCACGAAGGCACAAACCACCCTCTCCTACGACCATACCAATGGTCACTCCATAAAGAATGCTTAATGCTTTAATCAATGTTATATTAAAACTATATCAATAAGAACTCACAGAAACTTTCAGTATTTATACAACCCTCACTCGCTTCACAACGAGCACAGCATTGCTGCCGTGGTTGTAAAGAGTATTCACTACAGGTAGGCTGGCAACAGAGACCCAAGCATGCGCTGAGCAGTTGCCTCCAGCGTTGTTGCATGCATGAAAAGAGGATATCGGTGTGCTTGGTAGTAAGTGTTGCAGCGATGTGTGTTGCGATATATGACATACCATCTCCTCTCCCCCTGTGCCCCTTGGGCTGTTGTCTCTAAGACACCGTGAAGAAAACCTCCGCTGCAGTTCTTCAGATTTCTTCTTATCTATCTCGAGAGTCGCAGCAGACGATCGTTCAGCAGCTCATGAGGGCTCTCTGCTTAGACCGAGCAGCCCCGTTGCAGTTACAACACACCCCGCTGCAGCTTCGGTTGCATGCGCAGCCCCGTTTCGATGCATGCAGCAACAGAGTACTCAGCTGTTGAGCAGGTACTCGGCCCCCACTAGCCAGCCTCTGTGCATGCACCCGCGCATGCATGGATGCATGCAAAGGGTTGAAGCATCCAGCACAACACAAAACGATGAGGGGGTCATAGATAGACTGGCAAAGACGCACAGAATTTTTTATTATAAAAAAATAAATTTCTTCTGGCGTGTAGTGTTATAAAATTAAAAACAAAAAAACTGAAAATCTAACAACTATTGTTTGTACTCTTTAGAAGAATTAAACTTTTTAAAAAATATTTTATTTTTATGCAGCAGAAAAAAAAAAAATAAAAAAAAAATAAATTTCGTGGAGTTGATCGTCATAGAGTTGCTTTTTGTATTGCTCAGCACAAGTGAGCCTATCTTATATATTCCTTATATTATTTAATATGATAGAGTTTCTATGAAGTATTTTATTTGTTTTATAAAAAATAAAACGAATTTATAAAAACATAAACTCCATATATCTAGGGTTTATGTTCTAGGGTTTAGGGTTTAGGGTTTAGGGTTTAGGGGAGTGGGGCGTAGCAGGGGGTGGTGTCGGTGCGTCTTATGGGTGTAATATATCACTACAAGTGTAAAAAAATAAATAAAAATAAAAAAATAAATTAATTTTAAACAAAAACAACAAATATACACCTGAAACCCCTCTGTCTCGATGAGAGGGGGAGCGAGATTCAGCTGCGCGTGCTGGGGTGTACAGACAGCTGCGTAGGCGGTGCTGCTGGTGGCGGCGAGTTAGTACATTATTCTATCGATTAAAACCTGAAATAAATAAAAAAATATATCATTAAATATATTAAAAGAAAGCAGAGTGAATTTTATACAAGAATATCCCCAAAGCAACAACAGCAGCAGCAACAGCAGCAGCAGCAGCAGCAGCCGCAGCCGCAGCACAGCATGCAGCAGCACCAGCTGCGCCCCTTGGTGTGTGGGCACAGCCTGATGAGGGCTTCGCGGGTTTCGTCGCAGAGGGTTCTGTTGTAGGAGAAAGACGGCGCCTTTGTTGTGTTGCAGTGGATAGAGTTTCTGCTGTTTATATTAAGACACGCTTGCTGTGTTTGCTTTTGTGGCAGCAGCAGCAGCAGCAGCAACAACAACAACAGCAGCAACAGCAACTGCAACTGCAGCAGCAGCAGCAGCAGCAGCAGCAGCATCGTTGTCGTGGTGTTTGTTGTGTGGTTGCATGCAAGACGCGTAGAGAAGAATTTACTTTGTTTTCGTGTGTCTGTTGAGGTGCTATTACACCTTAAACCTTGGGCAGCAGCAGCAGCAGCAGCAGCAGCAGCAGCAGCAGCAGCAGCAGCAGCAGCAGCAGCAGCAGCAGCAGCAGCAGCAGCAGGAGCTCTGAGGAATCCGTCTCTTATTTTCTTTCTTTATTCTTTTGGTTGTTATTGTGTTTATTGTTGTTTCTTTATATTTCTTTCTTTTTTTCTTCGTCCCTACAAATCTATCTATCTCCGCATATATACATATGC